CATCCTTAGGATTTTGCCGTCAATTCTACGACAATGAACAATCTATTGTATTAAGCTACTCATCACTTGGCACTCAATGGGAAGTACTTAATATTGGTGTGACAAATCAAACATGCATTCTTGATTTGATTAATAATATGCACAAACTTCGAGTGCTGAATGTTCCATGCCAAGATACAAAAGCGAATAAAATGTTAAGTAATTGGTCTCAGACTGAACATGAATATCAACAGGAGCAAGATGAATTTCTCGAACGGTTACGAGAGCACTTGCCATTATCATATTCTTTGCCAAAATGTAAATGGATTGGCCCGATTCGATTGTGGATTCGTTGATAGAGGAAAACAATTTAGATAAACATGCACCATAGAACTTTTCGTGAGGAAATTATTAACGACTCCTATTTGTATGCAGCTTCAATGGTAAGCTCTTTATTCAGTGAGGCGAGTAAGAGACACATGATTGACAATGCATTTTATCAATGCACGAATGCACATCATTATTCCGTAAAGTGACGAAGAACAATCATCTGGCGAATGATAAGGTTTGACGAATTATCAACAGCAAGGCCGTGCGCGTATTCACTAATGAAATAATACAACCGTATACCTAGATGTACATACAACATTGCTTGATTCTATTAGTGTGTATTTCTTTCTTTTCAATCGTCTCGTTATCAATAACATAGCTGCTGCTGCTACTTTGTCTCTGTAAATTGTGGCAGATACATCCCACCTTTTTATCTTCCGTTTTGTTTTTGTATATATCAAGATGCAGAAAAACGACATATTACTGCACAAATACTTAGTTCGAATAGACACACTCGTAAACGACCGTAAATCATCGTATATTAGCGCATTACATGACTGAGTATTACAATCGTATGCCTCCATGTTATTCTTCGACTGATCCAGATTCGATTGATCGTTTCTTTCGCCAATTACAATTCCATAGTGAGATAGATTTGCAAATTGTTTTCGGTTGGGTTCGACAACAAGATTGATTATTAATCATTATTAGTGAAAAGCCCAGCATTCTTATGTTCTTCATCAAAATCACTTTTGATAATGATATTGATCTATTTCCGTTATTTAATTCCTCCACTTTTACTCAGATTTATATTCAATGATGTTATTGTTTTGCCCAAATGTTCGTTTTTCTTATTTTCGACATGATGTTGAATGAGAATGAAAAATGTTCGATTGAAACGACAAAAACATGTTTCGATTTAGAAAGAAAGATCGAGTGTATGAAGAAGGTCAGTCTGTTTTTCTGATAGAAAAATCAAACAGTAGAATTCGATTGCATTACCAATCAAACGGAAAGCATCTCAAGTATGCAGTAAAATATATTTCATATGAAGTTATTCGATAGTGTATTTACATCTTATCCGAAAGATCTATTTTTTTATTGAGTAGAATGGGTTTAAAATGGATGATGGTGTTTTTTTTCGTCGCACAGAGAATTCTGCATTCAAATAATTTCTATACGATGATGATAAAAAAAAACTATGTAAATAAAAGAGCTTGCTTAATTTCGTACCACATCTTGTTTTTTTTATCGAAATGGAAGCAAATAAATAAGGCTTAATGACATTCTTTCATTCAACCATTAATAATAAGTGACTCTTGCTCCACTTGAGGGGACTAGCATACTTTTCAAAAAATGAGAAACAAGTTCAGAGATTAATTATATACTTTATTTCTATACTTCAACATATCTTTTAGATTGTTGTTCGCAAAAAAAGCTTTATTGGGCTACATTCATCCGATCTACAAGAGATATCAGCAGTTCGATAACAATCATTACACATGGAAATGTCAGACATTCATAGTAAGCAAGCAAGCCACAATGAAAGAAAAGATCATGATGAAGTTCTGAAAAGCTTGAACTTACAATCGCTTGAACAGGCAAAACGGATCAAACTACATAAAAACTTGCTTATTTACTATGGAGATATACTTGATGTGAAAGCGGATGCCATAGTCAATACAGCGAACGAAGGATTACTTGGAGGTGGTGGACTTGATTATATGGTACATAGGATTGCTGGAGAAGAACTGAAACGCTTTTGTTCAGAACTGCCAGCCAATGATCAAGGTGTTCGATGTCATGCTGGAGATTGTGTAATTACGTCTGGATTTAAATCTAATTATAAATATATAATTCATACTGTTGGACCATATTTAGACAAATGTAACAAACCTCAACCAATATTGCTAGCTAACTGCTATAAAAACTCATTCAAGGTAGCAATTCAAAATGATTGTACGAGCATTGTGTTTCCATGTATATCAACAGGATACTACGGTTATCTGATGTTGGAGGCTGCTATTATTGCTATTGAAACTTTAAATCAATGTTTGCACGGTTGTCAAAACTCGAATGTCATAGTGACGATAGCTGTGTTTAATGATCTCGAGCAACAAATCTATAAAAAACTATACGGTGAGACGTTCGATGCATAAGTAACATGAAACATATTTTTTCGATAACCTTATGAGTATTAATATACTGACTGCAACTTTACTTATTTTTAACAAGGAGTCAATGGTGAATATTACAAAATATCTTTTCAGGATTTAATGAAGGTGATAATGAAGAGAGAACTATTATTATCACTCTCACACTTTCCCTCACATTCTCAATCGCAAGTTATTAACACACGGCGACGAGTACTTTCGACATGGAGAAAGAAACCATTAATTATTTTAGCAGAGTGCCTTATGTGATCGTAATTTTCAGGTCTTTTCTCGTACATCGGAAGCTTTGACTTATTTATCTCTACTCAAATCCTTGTGTCTATCTGTTCATAAACCATCAAAACCAACTTTACATTCTTGATAGAAAAATTCCAGTTTATATTTTCATTGCAAAAGAAAAAGATGGATGTGGATATGAGTAAATAGATGACTCATAGTCATATGATCGAGATCCTCGACAATAGTTTCATTGATCCAGAATTATTCTGTATAGAAAGCTGTCTAAGTAAAGATAAACATAACGATCATTTGGTATTGGCTCCATTTGATGATCATTCTCATCAGTGCACTGAAAAACCATTTAACTCGCTGTCAGTCTAAAACCATGATCACGACATCGATGCAATATGCCATATTTATTGATGGAAATTTTGAAGTTAATGCAGCTGGATTTAAAACATGACTATGCATATGGTAAAAAAGATCGGTATTACCATTCAATTAGATTGTGAGGAATAAACATTTACAAATAGTTTTGGATATGTTTATATTTAATTTGAAGATTTATTTAATTTTTATCCTATATAAAATCATAAGCAATGTAAATTGAAACTATCATGTTACTAAAGACAAGTATCATAGCAAATTTAGCTATTGTGATATCAAGGAACTTGCATGTCTATTACTTGATATAAGTCGTTTTATACAGAGTTAAACTGCGTGAAATTACTTTCCAAATGTATATTGATCATGTTAACTATTGACACTAAACTGCAGTTTAAACAATCCTAGAGCTAACAATAAAAGGCTTTTGTCAGCTGTAAATCATTCAATAATGACATACGTCTCAACAGTAGATTTGTTGACTCAGGAGTAACCTATTGCTGTAGAAGAGGTTTTCTTTATTCGATATTGTGCTGGAAAAAGAAGTGAAAATATAATAAAATAATTGCATGAAAGAATTAAAAAATCTACTGAAAGATTTTTTTGTAATATGATAATTTCGCATAAATACCACAAATCCTTTATTGTTCATAAATAATTTAAATAATGCAACTAAAGAAATAATCAGTTCAAATAACTCTCAATGCTTAGTGAATAATGATAAAGAATTAAATGAACAAGTGGGTACAAATAAAAGTGATTTTAAACGAAGTATTCGTTCACGATTAACTGTTTTACAAGTTGTGAATGCAACACATGGACAAACATTATTTTCATTTGATTTTCTTCTTTTAACAATATCTGCATCAATTATTGCTTCAATAGGTTCAGTAGAAGATAATTGTGTGAAAGTTGTAAGTTACTTTTTTTTTTATAAATAAGAAGAAAAATTTTTATCAGAAAAAAATTCAATAGAATACTTGTTGCTTCGATGTTAGTATCTGCATTAATGGTAAGAGAATCAAAATTTTTAAGTTTTTCAGAAAATTTTTATTTTGATAACGTCCAATATTAGATTTTTTTTTCGTTTATGTATTAGTAATTCAGCATTATGGAAAGTTGGTTTAAGAACAGAGACGATTGATTTATTGATTACAAGATTTATTGTTGGACTTTGTACAGCATGGTCTGAAGTCAAATGGGGTTTATTAACATCGTTTCCAGCACATGCAATGCGTTCGAAATATACAAGACAAAGATGTTATGTTTTTTTTTCTAAATAAAGAGGTGATATTCGTCATTTATCGACTGGTACTCTTGGTAGCAATGTTGAAAGTCTCGTATGAAATACATTTTGGGTCAATACATGAAATTTGTATCATATGTAACAAATTGTTTTTATAGCAACATAAAGAGTGACGTAATGGTTTTAAATCAACTATTGATTTTGCGTGAAATTTGTTTCTGTTATTTTTATTTATTAGGAAAAACAAAACGAAACGACTGAAAATTCAGTTTAAATGAACTTGTATAAAATTATTTATGTTAATGAAAAAAGATTGTGTTTTTCTAAATAAACAAAAAATAAAAGAAAAAAAAATCACGTAAATCAATAGTTGATTTTAAATCATTACGTTACTCTTCATGTTCCTATAAAAGCAATTTATGTTATATTTAATATAAAAATATTGATTAATAATTAAGAGATATTTAGGTTAATGTAGCTATCAAGATGTATGTGTGTGGGTGTATATGTGAGTGCGACTGTGAGTATTTTATTTCTTATTTGTAAATGAAAATGAGAGTGGGTTTATTATATTTTATTTATGACAATCAATAGAAAGTGTGTAACAGAAATCAATGTTACCACGATAAATACAATTTTTTATGGACCAATGTGATTGAATAATTATCGAGAAGCTTTTCAGAATCGATTATAGTCTTCAATATTTTGCGCATTCGTGTAGTTGTATTCATAAGACACAATAAGAATAAATGACGTGTACTCATCAATAGTAATTTTGTAGTAGATTTAAGATTATCTGTTGAAATATTTAACATCATATGATTCAGTCGAGAACACAAAGCGATAAATAGTTCAATTTGTACTAATGAACAATTATCAGACATAGTCAAACTTTTAATCTTGTTGCCATTGGATACTAATTGAAAAGATTCATTTCGTTGTATTGACTTTGGATTTGTCTTGTAAAAACATACAGAATAAAGTTTTAATCTTTGAATATTGGGTGTAAAACGTAATAGTTGAACTAGTTCGACAAAGTCAAACTCGCCCCAATCTATAGTTAGATTAGTTAATTTTGTCAGAATAATCAGGCGATTGATAACAGACGTCGTCGTAAAATTGCTTTGACATAAGAGAGTAAGCTCAGTGGCATGTGGAAACTAAAGTAGACAGGTGGCCATCGACCCTTCATCATGAATATGAACATGATGAACCAAATCATAGATAGCTTCTTGACGACATGAACACTTGGCCTTGTCTGATAATTTGTATATTGTATAATGTTTTCTCCTCAAAATAAAAAAACACATAGCTAGTGCATATCAAGAAATTGATATTACTATACTTGTATGGCTGGATGGAATAGAGGATTATAGCTTCCATAATTCCTTGATGATAATGTTGATGTGAAAAGAACCATCGTCGTTCGGACCAAAATGAAGAGCTAAATTGATCAATCAGTTCATGATACTCAGAGTCATAAAAGTAGATGTTGCTCCTGTAATCCTTATACTCAAAATCAAAGATAAGCAAACAAGACATATAAGTTAAGATCAATGTTTGCCACCGTTTAGCATTCAAATATGTCGTATTATTGATTGTAGAAATGCGTAATAATTGAAGTTGATGACAACATTTTTCGACAAAGGATTCAAATAGATCAAAACTTATATATTTCAATTTGAGCAAAACGTGTGTTAAAGTATTTGGTAACATTGACATTTTTGTTTGGTAGTCCGCAAATCCAGTTAAAGAATAGCACCATAAACGACGGAGTTGAGGTACATAGATTAAAATAGCATTGAGATGATACGATTCGAGAGGATTGATCATAACCAGATGTTCGATAGTACTGTATTCATTGACAAAATGTAAGAGTATTTTTGATTTAGGATGTTGTTCATAGAATAGTTTGCAATATTTCAATACTGATAAGCAAAAAGTTAAACGATAAAAAATAGTTTCATCTGGTAAATGGCTAGCAAGAGCAATGCTCAATGAAAACAAGCAAGTCAATTTAGCTAAATGTTTCAGAATATTTTCCACATTTATTAATTTGATACCATTAAGAATAAGTGCTTCAATTCGATGGAATTTTGAAACGATGTGAGGTTTAAAAATAAGATTGGCAATGAAAGAATTCGATATACAAAGGAATCCAATTCGATGTTTATTTCGCATGATAATATCAATATAATAACGTTGAAAGGTCAATTTAGACATGAATGACATGTTGATCTTGATAGGAAAAGTTGAATAAATAAGAAGATTTTGAAATCTTAAATTGAGATTTGAAAAGCTTCGTATTGATCGTAATTATCGAGAGATTCGCAGATTTCATAAATTAGGTTGTTCGATAGATCTGCAAAATCAGTCAACGATAATCTATATAAATAATAGTAAAATAAGCAGAAAAAGACAAGAAATGTAATTATATACATCACTGATCTCGTCATATTGACTGTCGTTCCTGGAAAAATAATAAGACATAGTAAGAACAAAAATTGAAGATAATTTACCTTGAAACTTCTTTTTTTCAACATAATTTAACTCAACATCACTCTGCTGTCGTTTCATTTGACCCATATATAAAGTACTATCCAACTAGGTAGTTTTTTTTTTATAGTAAAGAATCTGTTTGTTCTCTAGAATTAACAAGAAAGATACATAATCACAAGTCAAAATGTATTGATGTGCAAGAATATGCCATTGTTCGTTCAATTTACTTACAACAAAAACAATGATAAAAAATTATTTTTTTAAACGATAAAGAGTGCTCTATCGAGTATCACATCGAAAATAACGAGTACGCAAACATTTATGTCTATAATATTCGTATAAGAAACGAAATGATATATGAAATTGATAGTCATCTAAAGATTTTAAGTGTTCAAAACGTAAACACTGAAATCTTGAGTGATTTAAGATTATCTATGACAGGTTTTGTTTAGCTAGATAGTACGAGTGCATATCTCGTTGAAGCCACTTATTAGCCATTAGAAACTCAGATACACTCTCAAAACCCTCATTTTTATCGCTGGCGAAGCCATAAAACGTAACTGATGCTCTTTCACAAGACTTCTACTATCGAATTTTTTTTCTTGTTTATATCTAGTCATTTTCTATTATCGAATACTTTTACCTAAAAGCTCCCCTTATTTGGCTAATTTCATCAGATCAAATCAGTTAACGGCACTGAGAAGTATGCGCAGCTCGACTAAAAAATATAATATGCCGTTAGTCTCAAACTAAAACTAATAAGTTTTTTTAATTTCGAAGAAGAAAAACATCTAATGACAAATCTAGCATCTACAGAATACAATTCGATTGCATGGTTATTAGACTGTATTCATCTTAATGATGCTTCAGATGTTCAACAAAAAGGGTGAATGCCTAATAAAAATTTTTATTTTGATTGAGCATGCATTCGTAAAATAAAAACAATTAATATATAAAATATCTGGTAAGTTACCTACCAAAAGAAAAAAAAAACATTGCATATCCTCATAGATTCATAAATCAACAGCTTATTAACACACTTAAAACCTAGCATAATCTATTTGTTTTCGAATGCCTCCATCAGTAGTCAACCACAAAAATGTTTCGATCTAAAACATTTTGCAGAGCTTTTAAATACCTTTGTGTTTTTTGTCGTTGATTATCCACGCAAATATCATATCAAAAGTTAACTGTAGTTGTCTGAGGACTTCGACATTTCATATGTAAGAATATCGAAAAGGATTCTATAAAACATATGAAGATCGAATCATATTACAGAAACGCAAAAAACTCTATCGTTTATCTTTTTGGCAGAAACTGTAAATGTGTCTCTTTTAAATAGAAACTTAAAATTCTTCTCTATTATCAGGAAAAAATTAGCTCATTCGATTAAAATACGATGGAGGTACACAAATTATTTTTTAACAGGGAGCTTTCTTGACACTATAAAAGTGGGTGGGAAATGATAATTAATCCATTCGAGACGATACGGTTTTTCGGTGGGCTATGACGAAATAATTTGAATGTATCTACTCTATTTTAACGAAATGACATCCTTTTTTTGTGTAGAAAAAGGATAATCGGATAAATTCTTTATCTATAAGAGAGAGAGAGAGAGAGAAACATCAATAAATGCTGTCTTCTACATGTTTGTAAAAAACTATTTTTTTTAAATAAAGATTAGACGAATTAGCATGAAATTTGTAAGGTTTTATTTATCCAAAAATGTGCTAGTATTTTTTCGAAAATTGAAAAACGTAGCTTAAATAAGGATTGTATTGACACTTGCCGTATGAATAAAAACTTTAAACATTCTTATACTATCGACAAAAAAAATCAGCTCATTTAATTACAATACAGTGGAGATTTTCAACTTTTTGCCATGACCCATCGATGAATTACATTGCTTAGAATGTGTTAAAAACTGCGAAAATTAAATGGCATTCTGTCCCTAACTACTTTGCCTCTAATATTTCAATTAGATTCTAGATGTTGATGCTATTATTTATGAAATATTCATTTTTTTTTAGTCATATCATAATATCGAAGAAACCGAAGAGTAAAGTATATACAAAAATCATCCTTTCAAAAAACAAAATCAATTTCTATATCCTTTATACTTTTATTGTCTTTTTTTGTATGATTCCAATATATTGTGCTGTTCATGTATGGTTAGTCATAGTCACACAATTCACATTTCTTCTTTTCTCTTATGTTCTGATTTTTTTTCCTAAATTATTTTATTCAATCATTAATTTCGAAGACTTTTCGTTGCTTAATTAATCCAGATATGAATTGTTCTATATAATGTCGTTTCCTTACTCATTATTGATAAATAATTGTCATTTAGATATAATAGCAATGTCTCGTCTTGAATATTAAATTAATTTCAATGATAATTTGTGTTCTATATGTTGATAGACCCAATTTAAATTGTTATTTTAGTTAAATAAAATTTTTTATGCAGTATAGATATACAGATAGAGACAGTGAATTACTTCATAAAGTTTTCGAATTAATCAACCTAAAGAATAAATA